CACACTCCCATGCACCAACACACCACCTCACACACCCACACACCATACATCTTTACACACTCCCACGCAACAACAAACAACCTCACCCAAAAACTCACCATCATACATCCTTATACACCCACATGCCACCATACATACTTACACACCGCAACGCACCAACACACCACCTCACACTCCCACTCGCCACCATCAATCCTTACACTATCCCACGTGCCAACACACCCCTTACACACCAACACGCCACCATACATCTTTACACACTTTCAGGCATCAACCCACCACTTCACACACCCACACGCCACTATCAATCCTTACACATCACCACACACTAACACAATACTTCAAACACCAACACACCATCATACATCTTTACATATTCTAACGCACCAACAAGCTACCTCACAAACCCACCAACCACCATACATACTTACACACTAGCACGCACCAACAAACAACCCCCAACTCGCCAACATACATCCTTACACACCACTACGCACCAACACCCCGCCTCACACAACCATTCACAACCATACATCCTTTCACCTTCCGAGAATCAACACACCAACTCACAACCTCACAAATCACCATGCATCTTTACACACTCCAACCTCACACACCCAACCACCACCATACATCTTCACACACCCCACGCACCAACACACCACCTTACACACCCACCCACCAGCATAAATCCTTACACACTCCCACGCACCAACACACCACCTAACACACCCACTCACCATCATACATCCTTACTCATCCCTACGCACAACACCCCGCCACACACACCCACTCACCATCATACATCCTTACACACCCCTACGCACCAACACCCGGCCACACACACCCACCCATCACCATACATCCTTACACACCCCTACGCACCAACACACCATCTCGCACACCTACTCACCATCATACAACCTTACTCACCCCTACGCACCAACACCCAGCTACACACACCCACTCACCATCATACATCCTTACACACCCCTACGCACCAACACCCCGCCACACACACCCACCCATCACCATACATCCTTACACACCCCTACGCACCAACACACCATCTCGCACACCCACTCACCATCATACATCCTTACACACCCCCACGCACCAACACCCCGCCTCACACACCCACTTGCAACCATACATACTTCCACATCCTGAGAACAAACACACTAACTCACAACCTCACAAATCACCATACATCTTTACACATTCCCATGCACCAAAACCCGGCACACACACCCTCTCACCATCATACATCCTTACACACCCCCACGCACCAACACCCCGCCACACACACCCACTCACCATCATACATCCTTACACACTCAAACGCACCAACACACCACCTCAAACACCCACACGCCACTATCAATCCTTACACTACCCGACGTACCAACACACCGATTACACACCAACACGCCACCATACATCCTTTCACACCCCACGCACCAACACGCCACATCACACACCCACCCACCACCATACATCCTTACACTCTCCCACGCACCAACACACCACCTCACACACCCACACGCCACTATCAATCCTTACACTATCCCACGTACCAACACACCACCTCACATAACCACACGCCACCATACATCCTTTCACACTCCAAGCACCAACACACTACCTCAAACACCCACACGCCACCATACATACACGCACCAACAACTACCTCACACTCATTCGCCACCATACATACTTACACACTCCCATGCACCAACACACCACCTCACACACCCACACGCCACCATACATACACGCACCAACACACTACCTCACACTCATTCGCCACCATACATACTTACACACTCCTATGCACCAACACACCACCTCACACACCCACACACCATACATCTTTACACACTACCACGCACCAACAAACCACCTCACTCAAAAACTCACCATCATATATCCTTATACAACCACACGAACCAACACACCACCTCATATACCAACACACCACCATACATCCTCACACATCCCACGCACCAATACACCACCTCATACACCCACACGCCACCATACATACTTACACACCACAACGCACCAACACACCAACTTACACTCCCACTCGCCACCATCAATCCTTACACTATCCCACGTGCCAACACACCCCTTGCACACCAACACGCCACCATACATCTTTACACATCACCACACACTAACACAATACTTCAAACACCAACACACCACCATACATCTTTACATATTCTAACGCACCAACAAGCTACCTCACCAACCCACCAACCACCATACATCCTTACACACCACTACGCACCAACACCCCGCCTCACACAACCATTCACAACCATACATCCTTTCACCTTCCGAGAATCAACACACCAACTCACAACCTCAAAAATCACCATACATCTTTACACACTCCCACGAAACAAAACACCACCTCACACACCCAACCACCACCATACATCCTCACACCCCACGCACCAACACACCACCTTACACACCCACCCACCAGCATAAATCCTTACACACTCCCACGCACAAACACACCACCTAACACACCCACTCACCATCATACATCCTTACACATCCCCACGCACCAACACCCCGCCACACACACCCACTCATCATCATACATCCTTACACACCCCTACGCACCAACACCCGGCCATACACACCCACCCACCACCATACATCCTTACACACCCCTACGCACCAACACACTATCTCACACACCCACTCACCATCATACATCCTTACACATCCCCACGCACCAACACCCCGCCACACACACCCACTCACCATCATACATCCTTGCACACCCTCACGCACCAACACCCCGCCACACACACCCACCCACCACCATACATCCTTACACACCCCTACGCACCAACACACTATCTCACACACCCACTCACCATCATACATCCTTACACACCCCCACGCACCAACACCCCGCCACACAAACCCACTCACCATCATACATCCTTACACAACCCTACGCACCAACACCCCGCCTCACACACCCACCCATCACCATACATCCTCACACACCCCACGCACCAACACACCACCTCACACACCCACACGCCACCATCAATCCTTACACTACCCGACATACCAACACACCGATTACACACCATCACGCCACCATACATCCTTTCACACCCCACGCACCAACACGCCACATCACACACCCACACGCCACCATCAATTCTTACACTATCCCACGTACCAACACACCACCTCACATAACCACACCCCAACTAACATACTTACACACTCCAAGCACCAACAAACTACCTCAAACACCCACACGCCACCATACATACACGCACCAACACACTACCTCACACACCCACACGCCACCATACATACACGCACCAACACACTACCTCACACTCATTCGCCACCATACATACTTACACACTCCCATGCACCAACACACTACCTCACACACCCACACGCCACCATACATACACGCACCAACACACTACCTCACACTCATTCGCCACCATACATACTTACACACTCCCATGCACCAACACACCACCTCACACACCCACACACCATACATCTTTACACATTCCCACGCAACAACAAACAACCTCACCCAAAAACTCACCATCATACATCCTTATACAACCACACGAACCAACACACCACCTCATGTACCAACACACCACCATACATCCTCACACATCCCACGCACCAATACACCACCTCATACACCCACACGCCACCATACATACTTACACACCACAACGCACCAACACACCAACTTACACTCCCACTCGCCACCATCAATCCTTACACTATCCCACGTGCCAACACACCCCTTACACACCAACACGCCACCATACATCTTTACACATCACCACACACTAACACAATCTGCTGTGGTGTGGAATGTATTATAATTCATATAGACGTTTTGTTTGACACGATGTGCTGTAGTGTGGAATGTTTTATAATTCAAATAGACATTTTGTTTGACACGATCTGCTGTGGTGTGGAATGTATTTTAACCCATACAGACGTTTGTTTGACATGGTATGCCGTAGTGTGGAATGTTTTATAATTCAAATAGACGTTTTGTTTGACACGATCTGCTGTAGTGTGGAATGTATTATAATTCAAATAGACGTTTTGTTAGACACGATCTGCTGTAGTGTGGAATGTATTATAATTCAAATAGACGTTTTGTTAGACACGATCTGCTGTAGTGTGTAATGTATTATAGTTCATATAGACGTTTGTTTGATACAATGTGCTATATTGTGGAATGTATTCTAACTCATATAGACGTTTGTTTGATACAATGTGCTATAGTGTGGAATGTATTATAGTTCATATAGACGTTTGTTTGATACAATGTGCTATATTGTGGAAAGTATTCTAACTCATATAGACGTTTGTTTGATACAATGCGCTATAGTGTGGAATGTATTATAATTCATATAGACGTTTGTTTGATACAATGTGCTATAGTGTGGAATGTATTCTAACTCATATAGACGTTTTGTTTGTAAATTATATTCTATAAATGTATATTTCCGCATTCTCTCTACATAAACTTAAAGCATTCTGCGGTTACAATACCATTTTCAACTTACGGTGTACGACGTTTTCTTCTGTAGCCTTGTAGGGTGATCTCATTTGTCCATTAATCTTTGAATGCTCCAGAAGACTGCGTGTCTAACTTAAACCTGCTTACCGATCATTAGAGAATGCGTGAAAGATAAAAGATGTTTTTGAACATATTGAAACAAAGTGCTTGCAATCTTTGTCATTTTGACAAAATATCTCTGCGTCACAGAGAATTCTGTATTATCCCGTTTCCATGTGTAGTTATTCGTTGAAGCTTTCGTGGTGATGATGACTCATTAAATACTTTATAATCTGACTAAATTTTCATTTCAATGATTAAAAATTCATAGGTGGGCACGATGAATTGTCCATAATTTATATAGCTTGTTTATATGGTTTGATTCAGATCCCTTTTACGTTAATTGCAGATCCATTTAGCGGTTGGTAAGTATGCCTTCTAACGTCTCATGTAAGAACAAATTGAAATAACTATTTCTAGTTTTTTTATCAGTAATTTTTATATTTTTAACCAAATTCAATGAAATGTGTATACATACTTCTCGTACTGTTAAAGATGTCTTGGATAAGATATAATCCACTTTAAAAAACATATTATTTTTTATTAATGTATCAAGATGTGATTATCGCACACGGCAGACAAAAGTGATATTGAGCTGACATGGAAATGAAGTGTAAACGTTACACATACTAAAATGTGCCGTTGATACGGTTTGTTTATATTGTAGGGTATGATGATAGTCAGATGAAATGTTACGTAGACATCGCCTTCGTTGTCGACTCATCAAGTAGCATACCCGAAAAAGATTTCAAAATCATGAAAAAATTCATGGAAGAATTAGTGAAACGTTTTGAAGTTGGCCCGAAAGATGCTCTGTTTGCTGCTGTCTCATTTAGCGATGGTGTTAAAGAAGAGTTTAAGTTCAGCGACAGTGCTGACCAAGCGACTGTCATCGATAATTTGGAAAAGATTAGGTACAAGGCGGGACTTGCCACTAAAACGTACGCAGGCATACGGTACATGAATGAGAACTTATTTGGCCCGGATAATGGTGCTCGTAATGACGCAGTTCACGTAGGAATAATCATGACTGACGGTACAACAAATCCCGGAAGTGATGGTACCTTTACTGCAAAAACGGCCAAGGCTGAAACACAAAAAGAAGCGAAGGCAGCGAAGGACAACGGAATATTTCTGTTTGCTGTTGGAATCGGATCGAAAGTGGATGATGCAGAACTCAGCGGAATAGCTAATGCTCCTAGCAGCACGTATATGTTCAAAGTTAAAAACTTCGAAGAGTTGAAAACAGAAAAAGTAAAAAAGGAGCTGGCCAACAGTGCTTGTCACCGTACGTTATGTATCATATACTATACTTTATTATTATTACATTCTTAACTGCCCGTCAACACATAAAAAGTCATTAGTGCCATGTATACTATACTTAAATAAAACAAATGACGATACAATTGACCATACGGAGCCCCGGAAGTTTTTTTGTCATTTTCCTTAAATCCGAGGCCTCGGTTTAGTTATCCTTGGCCTCGGTTTAGTAATTCGTAGTCTCGGTTTAGTAATCCGTGGCCGCGGTTTAGTAATTCGTGGCCTTGTTTTAGTAATTCGGTTACTAGTAATCAGATTATGCAACCAAATCTAATAGTTTACCAGAAAGAAAAGTGCCTTTGAATTGATTTGTTTGCATCTTGCTACAGTTGTGTTGATATTTCTATAAAAGTTTATAATTTATTGTACTAGTTTATTACCTTATGTTGATGTTGATTATACCTGTATTTTCTCTATTTTCCAGCATATTTCTTGCATGAAGCACAGTAGCTAGTATCAATATGCATGGAATAAGAACAAAAAATAAGATAATTAGTAGTTATGTGTCATTTTAGATTTTTCTTGCTGTTCGTATCCCACAAACTTCATTGCATTGGTGAAGTGTTAATCACACGGAGCAGGCACGTCATCTCACGTCATAGATTTAGACATATATGTATTCCTTCATCTACTGAAAACAAATCGGCTGGATCATGTTTCACCTGATTGAGACTATTGGAGTTTCAAATGCAAGGAACAAGCTGACTGTGTATTGTGCCATTAATATGGCAAGCAATTTTTAACATTTGATAGATTTAACAATAAGGTACAATACATTTTAAATTTATTTCACTGAAGTGGAATACATTTTACACCATAGATATACATACGTGTTTAAATTGTATATAATTTCACTTAAATGGAAAGAATTAACCTCAGTGGAAACAAAATTATTATACCCATGAGGTGGGGATGGGATATACTGAAATCATTTGGTCCACAGTAGGATGTTCTCTGTGTGAAATGTTGCTGTTATACTCCTTGAATGGCAGGATTTCTATATACATGTGGAACAAAAGAAATCCTGCTATTTAATTACACTATGATAGCTTTATTTCACACATAGAACGCCCGATTCCCGTGGATGTACCGGCTACTCCTCCTAATTTCAACTACTTTATGGATTTTAACGAAACTTGCTAGCAATTAATGATCCATGTGCATAATCTATATCAGATTTGGTTATCTCCCCTCTTCTGAAAGCTATGCTCCATTGGGCACGCAGAAATGTACCTGCTATCCCTCTTAAACTACAGGATAGATATTTCAACATGCGTAGGTAGTTCGGTTATCTCCCCTTTTTCGGAAGTTGGTACACATTACGTAAATTGATCAGTAATTTCTATAGACTGTTTTACTGTAAAATCATGCTCCTTTATAATAAAAAAATTACCAGTTAACAGTTTACATCTCACTAGTTTAGATCATGGGGCGAAGCCGCAAACCTGTTGCCATGGAAGCTACAAATGACGTCCATCTTTACTGATATTTATCTTCCTTTGATATTTTAAAAACGTGTCGTGTTGAAAACTTGAGGGCGATCACTGCCAAATCCATAGAGTAAATCATTATTTCAGTTAAATAAAACAGCCAGTGCATATTCTTTACGTATTTATAAACTATATAATTGTTTAATAAAGGCTGTATTAAACTGATTACTTAAACTGAGGTCACGGATTACTGATACGAGGCCACGGATCAATAAACCGAGGCCAAGGATTAACATGTTTTTCCTAATGTCCCTTCCCGGGCTCCGTATGACAATCAATGTCTTTAGAGAATACATTGTTCATAACCTCTAACAAAATTGGATGTATACCAAAGATGAAATGCATTAACTGTATCCGAATAACAAAGCTCCCACCTGTAGTTAAAATATTAATGTATCTAACTTCACAAAGGGTAATAACAACTACACAGAAAAAAAAACTTTAAAAAGAAATGTTAATTCATGTAAATGTTTATCAATACATTGTTCTTTTCTTTCTAGCTGTCAAAGCACCGAATCCCACACCCATTCCAGGTCCAGGTAAGTTAACCTTACATTCCAGTCAACCTAAACATCATAAAGTAGCACTTGCCATTATTAAGCTCCTTAAAATAGGTAACAGAAGGAACAATTCAGTAAACAACACTCATTTACGACACTTGATACCTACAAATTAGTAGATAACACTTCCCGCCTGTCACTAGATATCTATACGTCAGTACATAACACTTCCCGCCTGTCACTAGATATCTATCAGTCAGTAGATAACACTTCCCGCCTGTCACTAGATATCTATACGTCAGTAGATAACACTTCCCGCCTGTCACTAGATATCTATCAGTAACAGCCTGTCACTAGACACTTTAACACTTCCCGCCTGTCACTAGATATCTATACTTCCCGCCTGTCACTAGTATCTATCAGTCAGTAGATAACACTAGATATCTATCAGTCAGCACTTCCCGATAACTACTCAGTAATTAACACTTCCCGCCTGTCACTAGATATCTTCCCGCCTGTCACTAGATATCCGTCAGTCAGTATATAACACTTCCCGCCTGTCACTAGATATCTATCAGTCAGTAAATAACACTTCCCGCCTGTCACTAGATATCTATCAGTCAGTAGATAACACTTCCCGCCTGTCACTAGATATCTATCAGTCAGTAAATAACACTTCCCGCCTGTCACTAGATATCTATCAGTCAGTAATTAACACTTCCCGCCTGTCACTAGATATCTATCAGTCAGTAAATAACACTTCCCGCCTGTCACTAGATATCTATCAGTCAGTAACTAACACTTCCCGCCTGTCACTAGATATCTATCAGTCAGTAACTAACACTTCCCGCCTGTCACTAGATATCTATCAGTCAGTAAACAACACTTCCCGCCTGTCACTAGATATCTATCAGTCAGTAACTAACACTTCCCGCCTGTCACTAGATATCTATCAGTCAGTAAACAACACTTCCCGCCTGTCACTAGATATCTATCAGTCAGTAAACAACACTTCCCGCCTGTCACTAGATATCTATCAGTCAGTAAACAACACTTCCCGCCTGTCACTAGATATCTATCAGTCAGTAAACAACACTTCCCGTCCCTATTAGAAATTATAATTTTCTATCTCTTGAGTTATTTCTATTGATGTTGAAATAAATGGTATGATGTTTAATCTACAAGAGGTATTGATTAATTCCTATTTTGCATTGCATATTTTTTCCAGCACCAGAAATACCCCAAGCAGAGGATCCAAAGGAAGGTAAATAACCAAAATTCTTTTCTTATCCACCGCTTAATGATTGATAAAAATTGTACTTCGTTTTCTTTGTTTAGACAAGTATCAAATACTTTTTTTCTGTCAATACAAAACTGGTTTTCTAAAAAAAAAAAAAAAAAAGGTATAAATCCTACGTCCTAAACATGAAATTTACTTGGATAAGTTTACATCTCAGTTTCTCTCCCTAGTCTTTCAGGTGCAATGTCGAAGTATTTACTGTTCATATCAAATGAAATTTGTTTTCATCAGTATGTCAGGGTAAGAAAGCCGATGTGATCTTCTTGCTCGACGAGTCAAGCAGTATCCATACTACCGAGAACTTCAAACTGGAGTTGTCTTTTGTAAAGGCGGTCATCGACTACCTGGACGTTAGCAATGATTTGACACGTGTTGGGCTCATAACCTTCAGCAGCGAAGCCAACATGCGCTTTCAACTAGACAAGTTCACCACCAAGGATGAGGTAAGTATACCGGCAGTGATATAAATTGTTTTCAGCTAGGATTCGAACTCGTGACCTCTGATTTACTAGTCTGATGATCAACCGATCGAGCTAAAGAGTTCTCTAGCCAAGCGGTATATTGCGGCTAGTATTTTACCAGGGTTATATAATCCTTTCCGGAAAAGAACTCGTTCTCGAGTTTCTAGTGGTTACATTGATAGTTGTGAAAGTAGCACGAAGCTTTCATTCAGAGTTAGTAGATGTACGCCATTGTTACTGAGATCATTAATTATTTCAATGCCTTTTTAAGGAATCTTCTTGCTTACTAGTCTGAAATTCAACCAAACGAGCTATTGCGGCTAACACTTTACCGGGTTTATACAGGTAAATCAGTTTACCAGCAAAGTGAAAGAAGGGTAATCAAGTCAGTAAATAACACTTCCCGCCTGACACTAGATATCTATCAATCAGTAAATAACACTTCCCGTCTGTCACTAGATATCTATACGTCAGTAGATAACACTTCCCGCCTGTCACTAGATATCTATCAGTCAGTAGATAACACTTCCCGCCTGTCACTAGATATCTATCAATCAGTAAATAACACTTCCCGCCTGTCACTAGATATCTATACGTCAGTAGATAATACTTCCCGTCTGTCACTAGATATCTATACGCCTGTCACTAGATATCTATCAGTCAGTAGATAACACTTCCCGCCTGTCACTAGATATCTATCAGTCAGTAGATAACACTTCCCGCCTGTCACTAGATATATATCAGTCAGTAGATAACACTTCCCGCCTGACACTAGATATCTATCAATCAGTAAATAACACTTCCCGCCTGTCACTAGATATCTATACGTCAGGCGATAACACTTCCCGCCTGTCACTAGATATCTATCAGTCAGTAGATAACACTTCCCGCCTGTCACTAGATATATATCAGTCAGTAAATAACACTTCCCGCCTGTCACTAGATATCTATACGTCAGGCGATAACACTTCCCGCCTGTCACTAGATATCTATACGTCAGTAGATAATACTTCCCGTCTGTCACTAGATATCTATACGTCAGTAGATAACACTTCCCGCCTGTCACTAGATATCTATCAGTCAGTAGATAACACTTCCCGCCTGTCACTAGATATCTATCAGTCAGTAATTAACACTTCCCGCCTGTCACTAGATATCTATCAGTCAGTAAATAACACTTCCCGCCTGTCACTAGATATATATCAGTCAGTAAATAACACTTCCCGCCTGTCACTAGATATATATACGTCAGTAACTAACACTTCCCGCCTGTCACTAGATATCTATCAGTCAGTAAACAACACTTCCCGTCCCTATTAGAAATTATAATTTTCTATCTCTTGAGTTATTTCTATTGATGTTTCTATTGATATCTATCAGTCAGTAAATAACACGACTGTCACTAGTAAGGTAATCACACTTCCCGGTGATATCTATCAGCTATAACACTGGTGTCACTAGATATCTACCAGCAAGGATGAAGTAAGGTAATCAGTGGTCACTAGATATTAGCTATAACACTTCCCGGTGAACTAGTTGACCAGCAAGGATGAAGTAAGGTAATCAGTGGTGATATTAGCTATACTGGTGAACTAGTTGACCAGCAAGGATGAAGTAAGGTAATCAGTGGTGATATTAGCTATAACACTGGTGTCACTAGTATGACCAGCAAGGATGAAGTAAGGTAATCAGTGGTGATATTAGCTATACTGGTGAACTAGTTGACCAGCAAGGATGAAGTAAGGTAATCAGTGGTGATATTAGCTATACTGGTGAACTAGTTGACCAGCAAGGATGAAGTAAGGTAATCAGTGGTGATATTAGCTATACTGGTGAACTAGTTGACCAGCAAGGATGAAGTAAGGTAATCAGTGGTGATATTAGCTATACTGGTGAACTAGTTGACCAGCAAGGATGAAGTAAGGTAATCAGTGGTGATATTAGCTATACGAGTGAACCAGTTGACCAGCAAGTCATGAGGTATAGTTAACATTTTGTGTTTAACATGTAAATCTAATTGTCTGCTATAGCCTGATAATGTGAGAGAGGCTTAAAACTAAACATCATTTCTTAACCAATATCTAGTTACATGAAGAGGTAGATAAAATAAATTGGCGTGGAGGAGACACCTACATAGACAAGGCTCTAGACCTGCTCATGGGCGAAGGATTTGAACTTCAGAATGGGGCTCGGGAAGATGCAGCACAGATTGCTATCATTATCACCGATGGTAATTCTACTAACCTACATAAGACGAAAATACAAGCGGAAAAGGTTCATAAGAAAGGCATATACGTGTTTGCTATTGGTAAGATATCTATTTTATGATCTCATAATATTTCATTTCAGGATATTTAATTAAAGCTTTCAGAAAATATTGTTTTTCACCATGATTTTTTAAAAAGTGTAACTTCAGTGCTTTAATTCAAGAAAAGTAACGCATTTTCAAAATATCGAACTCTGATTATGAGAATGTGACACACGTGTTTATGCAATGTTTACCACCTTTAATTTCAGGAGTCGGATTCGTGAACAGAGATGAGCTAAATATTTTGGCATCTGATCCCAACTCTGACTATGTCTTCACTGTAAACGATCTTAAAGCTCTTAACACAATAAAGAAAATCTTGGTCTACAAAGTCTGCAAAGGTAGATGCTTTTATATAATGACAAATATTCAACATTACTGCATCGTTTTCGACTTTCTGCTAAAAGTATTTATATATGTCGAGCAGAGCAGTGGTGCCGACAGATAAGGTGTTTAAGAGGGATGTGCCTCTAAATGCCATCGGTTCTGTGTTTAGGTATACCTTTTTTTGTAGAATAATACCCTAATATTAAAAATTGAATTGTGACTTACTGGAGATGGATTGGAATTAAATAACTAAATACATGCAATTGAAAGTATATGCATTCCTTTACAATTTTAGAAAAAAATTTCATTTCATCCCGGTAAAGTTTTATTAATTTTTATTTCATTTTACTGTTAAAGTAGAACTCAAACATTTTCTATTTTTTTTCTACGACAGAGAAGCCTCAAAATGCTCTTCAAAAAAGTAAGTATTATTGAAAATAAGAAAAATTCATAAATTCTTGAATCGCAAGGAAATTTCGAAATTTCTAAAATGATAAATTAAAATCAGCTGTTTCAAAATAGTTTAAATGTTTTCATTTTGAAACTTGACTCATTGAAGTTTTTTCATGATGAGACACTGAACCCGAAAGTCGCTATCTTTTATATAGTTATGACTATAAGACACCAAATAAACAGTAAAGACATTTCAAATTATGAATCCCAACCTCTACTACCATTGCAGGCACTTGCCTATTGCTTTCGTCCTCTAGGTAGTATGTATAACACCTGAGTATCTATTTTGAAGTTTTGTATTACATCTATGTTACACTGTATTTTATGATACAGGAGGGAAGACACTTGACGGTCACCACAAGTCTAAGTCGGTAGAAGAGGAGGTAGTCAGTGAGGCCAGGATACAGGAGATAATGAAACTGATCGACATACTGAAGAGAGCAGAAACAGACAACTGATATGACCAATGCTATCACCCCCTATATGCGGAAATAACCACTTACTTTTATCAGATCAAAGATTTTACAGAAAAATGTAAACATAAACAACCATCAATTTTTTTTGCATATGTATTAACAAAAAATTATTAACCCATTAATCATTAACTTTCATTTATACGGAACGATACGATATGTGTATTTGACTATATTTTTTATCAATTATGTTTTTTAATGTTTTTACTATATAGACGTTGTGTTCGCAAGTTGTAATTATGCTTTTTTCGTTTCTAACAAATTGTATAAAAATATTTTATATAACAAATTAAATATACTAGCTTGATACTTATTTCTTTGGTTTTTTTTTCTTCTAAATTACTTTTGCGCTGTGTCTTATAGCAATATTGTACAAAAAAAAAAACAGTAACTACGGACAGGTTAACTTAAACATAATCTCTGTCATCACTGTCGGGCAATCTTTATCAAAGATAACGTGTATCCTCTATCAACAATATCTTGCAGCTTCCTCTTGATCACAGATATTGTGTAACCAATATTATCAGTGTCGTGTAACCTCTATAAAAAAATGCGTGTAATCTCTATCAAAAAATGCGTGTAACCTCTATCAAAAGTGTCGTGTAACCTCTATCGAAAGTGTGGTGTTACCTCTATCAAATGTGTCGTGTAACCTCTATCAAATGTATCGTGTAACCTCTATGGAAAGTGTGGTGTTACCTCTATCAAAAATGCGTGTAACCTCTATGGAAAGTGTGGTGTTACCTCTATCAAAAATGCGTGTAACCTCTATCAAAAGTGTCGTGTAACCTCTATCGAAAGTGTGGTGTTACCTCTATCAAATGTGTCGTGTAACCTCTATCAAAAATGCGTGTAACCTCTATCAAAAGTGTCGTGTAACCTCTATCGAAAGTGTGGTGTTACCTCTATCAAATGTGTCGTGTAACCTCTATCAAATGTGTCGTGTAACCTCTATCAAATGTGTCGTGTAACCTCTATCAAAAATGCGTGTAACCTCTATCAAATGTGTCGTGTAACCTCTATGGAAAGTGTGGTGTTACCTCTATCGAAAGTGTCGTGTAACCTCTATGGAAAGTGTGGTGTTACCTCTATCGAAAGTGTCGTGTAACCTCTATCGAAAGTGTGGTGTTACCTCTATCGAAAGTGTCGTGTAACCTCTATCAAATGTGTCGTGTAACCTCTATCAAAAATGTCGTGTTACCTCTATTAAACGTGTCGTGTAACCTCTATCAAACGTGTCGTGCATTTTATATCAAAAAGTACCGTGTGACCTCCCTCAACAATGTCGTGAAATCTGTATTAAGAATGTTACACAGCATGATTGTACCAGTACTGGTGTACAATATCTATCAACAGTGTTGGGCAACGTCTGTCAACAGCGTTACACACCATGATTATATCAGTACTGGTGCACAATACCTATCAAAAGTGTTGGGCAACTGTTATCAAAAGTGTTGTACAACTATTATCAAAAGTGTTGTACAACTGCTATCAATAGTGTTGTACAACTGTTATCAAAAGTGTTGTACAACTGTTATCAAAAGTGTTGTACAACTGCTATCAACAGTGTTGTACAACTGCTATCAAAAGTGTTGTACAACTGTTATCAATAGTGTTGTACAACTGCTATCAACAGTGTTGTACAACTGTTATCAAAAGTGTTGTACAACTGTTATCAAAAGTGTTGTACAACTGTTATCAAAAGTGTTGTACAACTGCTATCAACAGTGTTGTACAACTGCTATCAAAAGTGTTGTACAACTGTTATCAATAGTGTTGTACAACTGCTATCAACAGTGTTGTACAACTGTTATCAAAAGTGTTGTACAACTGTTATCAATAGTGTTGTACAACTGCTATCAACAGTGTTGTACAACTGCTATCAAAAGTGTTGTAAAACTGTTATCAATAGTGTTGTACAACTGCTATCAACAGTGTTGTACAACTGTTATCAATAGTGTTGTACAACTGCTATCAACAGTGTTGTACAACTGTTATCAAAAGTGTTGTACAACTGTTATCAATAGTGTTGTACAACTGCTATCAACAGTGTTGTTCACAATGTTTATTACTGGGATTACCTTGACACCTGTACTGAAATTTAAAACATTAAGTAAACATGCGTTTTTTGTCTTTATTCGTGCAGCTATGTGGTGTCAAATGCGCTTTTTCGTGATATAATCAGGATCCATGCGACAGGCGGGTACACATTGAATGGATACCGTTCATGACAGGCCACTGAACATCAACAAAAAGCTTTTAAAATTCACAATTGGAGATTTTCTAGTTTCCATTAGAATTTCCTGTCGTGTTACGCATGCAAGGCTTTTAGCTCTCCTCATAAAAATAACCATTCCGTTAAAGAATAAAGAAATGAAAGGATGTAATAAATCATTATTTGGAACATCGCATGTGGTGTTTACATATATCTACGTGTCTAGCATACGGGATAATGTTATTTCGTAACGTTCACCTGATCTGTATATAGAATGTTAACCCTATGATTGATATACAGGAATTTCACTTTTTAAGCCCAGCACGCATAAACTTGTGAGCACACACTTTTAAGTATGGTTTGTGTGAAGTGTATACTTATTTTCACAGCAAAGTATTGAAAACGTGTTTCACGTACCCGTTGTTTCAGAAATGTGTTTCGCGCACTCTTTGTTTCAAATATGGTTTAAACAAATTCGTTAACTAAGAAACTCCTACGCCAAGTATCTGGGCAAACACAACCAGAAAATTCTTATACGTTTACTAAATCGCAATTGCAACTGAAAATTGCCACATCACAAAAAGAAAGATTTACAAGATTGATTGACAAGACGAATCTTGAATAAAACAAGGTATTCCGAAAGGATAAGCGTCTTCTACTTCATTGGCGACACCCGTCATGTAAACCTTTTATCAAGCATATCATTAATTTCACGTTTACAAATAATAACAAGGAAAACAACAAGAGATGACCAAACATTCAAATGGATATCGAAAACACCTTACTTCATATCGCAAGGGAAATAGAATACTTCCGAGTAAGAGTATAATGGTGACCATTAAACTTCGTCACCAACCATCTACAGCTTATACTGAAACATAGACAATAAGAACAAACCCCTGAATACAAAGCTATAAACTTTATTTGTTTTACGTCAATTTCGAAATAAGTTATTTTCAACTGATACTAATTACTCTTGTTGGCCCGAATGTAAGCGTGCGAGGGGGTCTTATTTTGTGTGGAAATCGGAGTACATGGGGGAAAACCCACGTGGTCGAGCAGGTGACCTTTATGCCTTTTCGTGTCCGTGAAATCGAACCCCAGACGGCTAGGTGAAAGGTGAGTGCGTTACCACTGCGCCAACCAACCACTCTTAAATATCAAAATAACTATGACGTGTAAACATTATACACTTTCATTTGATGAAATATGAATATTACTATCTAGTATCTAGAAACATAAATTCACAATTGAGTATTTGAATTATCCTACGTAGCATACAGCTTGATGAGGAAACGTTCAGCGGGGTAAGCGTATTCCTAAGGATACGATATTTGTGTACGATAGAAAATGTGTATAATATGTTTATAACAATATTCTTAAATTTAGCAGAAATCGATTACATATTCATTAAAGAGTATACAAATCCCACGTTAATTACAGGAAGCCGTTAATTATGTATGAATATGTAGTACAGTATTAAACATTACGTGCAACAGTCGTGTCCGATTAACCAAAGTCTCTAGTTTCTCATCCCAGTAGATTAACTTTTCCTGAAGCGGCGACGCTGAGACCGGTTTATTTGAAAGTGAAATATCCTTCTTTCCGTGGAGTATTCAACAGGCAAAATATCATAATTAGTTTTTAAAGTTACAAATCACGTGATTAATCAGATTTAGATGGTGTTTTCTATGTGCGCATCATATATTTCCTGTAGAGTGGTATATGTTATTAAAGTATTTATCGTCTATAGGGAAATCCCTCGGTTACATGCTTCTTGTATGAGATGTTTATGGGTAAATCTGTCACTGAACTTCTAAATGAACGATAATACATAACCAGCTTACGACGTTAACGTTTAATACTAGAGCAAAGTTAGGGACAATATATTTAATTTTGAATATGTTACAGTTGAATTGATTTTAACAATAAGAAATCAATACAGCAAAACATCCATGTACGTATTGAATCTATAATATCATTGATGGACTGTTGCACCCCATATACATGTATGTTATACTCTCTCAGGCGCCACATGTTCCTCCACTACCCAAATATTTGCATTACCAAAGTGTTTAAATCCACATCAGCATGCATCTTGCTAAACACATATATGGCGCAAATACTTTATTTTAATTGATAAAAAAATGTTTTTCTTGTTTAACTGAATGAGTTTTAATGCGGCCATATTACAGCAACGTTTGTGGAAAGTCAATGTAAGGGAGGTAACTCTAACAGAAAATGGTTCTTCTGTATATATTGGTTCGGCTATGCCTGTACACAAAAGATGTTGCATTGGCTGCGTCACCCAGAAATCAATTGTGATGTCATGCTAAACAACAATGTCGTTACGTCATGAATTGGAAATGGCACAACAGAATGGCTGACTGCGTTTGATTTAATCCTCCACATTTTCATTTTAAAACACGTCATAGATTGTAGCTTGTCTGAGTTATGTGATAAAAAAGTCTTCTTTTTTAAATTTTGCCCTCCAAGGCTCGCAAAAATAAAAACTCATTAATTCCATATGAACTGGAAATTTAACTTAGATATTTTATGTATATAACCAAACTTCATAACATTTGAATGCAAATGTTGAAATTTGAAACATCCTCAGTAATGAGTAACCGACTTAGCTACATATAAACAAAATGGCTCCATTAAATCGGGGCAAAATATTTAGAATTTTGGAAGTTATTTAAACTACTACTTCCGTATTTTAGCCTAATGTAGTATAATTGTTGTCGCGGGAAATACTTTAAATGTGAGAAAGCAGACATGATTATGACATGTGACCAGATACATGGCCATTTTGTTATGTGACCAGATACATGACCATTTTGTTATGTGACCAGATACATGACCATTTTGTCATTTGACCAGAGACATGACCATTTTGACATGTGACCAGATACAGGATTACTTTGACATGTGACCAGATACATGACCATTTTGTCATGTGACCAGATACATGACCATATTGACATGTGACCAGATACATGACCATTTTGACATGTGACCAGATACATGACCATTTTGACATGTGACCAGATACCGGACCATTTTGACATATGACCAGATACAGAACAATTATGACATATGACCAGATACAGGACCATTTTGTCATGTGACCAGATACATGACCATTTTGTTATGTGACCATATACAGGACTATTTTAACATGTGGCCAGATACATGACCATTTTGTCATGTGACCATATACAGGACCATTTTGTCATGTGGCCAGATACATGACCATTTTGACATGTGACCAGATACATGACCATTTTGACATGTGACTAGATACAGTACCATTTTGACATATGACCAGATAAAGGACTATTTTGACACGTGGCCAGATAAAGGACCATTTTGACATGTGACCAGATACATGACCATTTTGTCATGTGACCATATACAGGACTATTTTAACATGTGGCCAGATACATGACCATTTTGTCACGTGGCCAGATACATGACCATTTTGTCATGTGACCAGATACAGGACCATTTTGACATATGACCAGATACAGGACTATTTTGTCATGTGACCAGATACAGGACCATTTTGCCATGTGACCACATACAGGACCATTTTGTCATGTAACCAGATACATGACCATTTTGACATATGACCAGATAAAGGACTATTTTGACATGTGACCAGATACATGACCATTTTGACATGTGACCAGATTTTGACATTAGACCAGATACAGGACCATTTTGACATTAGACCAGATACAGGACTATTTTGACATGTGATCAGATACAGGACCATTTCGACATGTGACCAGATACAGGACTTATTTGACACGTGGCCAGATACAGGACTATTATAACAAGTGACCAGATATGAGCATTATTCTGGCCATAAGTGACGATAATTGAACGACACAAGCATTCGTTTAATAAACAAACACAAGATTGTAAAAAAAAACCACTCGTGTGAAAAAACGTACATTTGCCTTTAAATACAACTTTAGAAGCAGTGCAGCCTAGTAATGAATTAGACTACATCGTTCAGCTGTTAGTTCTTGTAGACCTCGTTAATGATACATAAACCTTAAAACTATTGAAGTCGAGGAGGCGAATCGGTAAAATGGTAATCGGTAGAAATAAATGTCAAAATCCACATGGGGAGATTCACAGGGACTAAACTATCTACATAATTACTTGTATACAAGACTGGCCATTTATATAATGAAACATATACAGTATGTGCTTCAGTTTAAAAAAACAATGAAATTAACTTTCATCATTTCTGATTTCTCCGTTATTTCTAACCTTGTTTTTATTCTTGTCGTGTGCATATTAATTATTTCCGTTTTTGTTGGTTTCTATCCTATCTAGTAAACATCGTTTATTAAGATTTCCCGTAACTCTGCTCTATTCCCTCGATAATTAAATGGAAGGCTTTTAGTCGGATATCTCATTTCTCCAAAATCGATCATGAATGAAGATAATAGAGTTATGTCGGATTCCGCTAGACATCTTGTGCTAGTGATTAACCGTAGCAGACAGCCGTTCAGCAGCCTCACCACACATACACACTCCCGCCTCGCAATTGATTTTAATACGTCCCAGCTTAGTCAAGCTTTAAACGGTGAGAGCTGGTGATAAACACTTGGCAAGTGAACCGGAAGTAAGGGAACTACAGAGGTCGGTGGTGTACATTTAAGCTGGTGTCTGCCTATGACGTACTGGTACCCAAACCTGGAAAATATGTAACACAACGCGGATGCTTGACCAGATAGCTGTATAAAGGTAAGTATGGACATGGGTGCATTACAAATCCAGATTTGTAAACACTGTCATACAAGTACGCACCAACGTGACTGAGTTTGAAAAACATACAAACCACTCGCTGGTTTATCGTGACCCAGATGTGCTTTCGGCCGTTCAGTGTGGCAAGTAGTCTCATTGATAATGTACATAAAGTACGTATGTACGAATGGCCTCCCTTAAAACTCATATGTAATACATTCTTAAGTCTTACTTTCACACAAAGTATACATCCTTCATATTTAGTGTCAAATAAAGTATCAATCCTTTTATCTTAACGTCACCGAAAGTATCAATCCTTTTATCTTAACGTCACCGAAAGTATCAATCCTTTTATCTTAATGTCACAGAAAGTATCAATCCTTTTATCTTAATGTCACAGAAAGTATCAGTCCTTTTATCTTAATGTCACATTAAGTATCAATCCTTTTATCTTAACGTCACCGAAAGTATCAATCCTTTTATCTTAATGTCACAGAAAGTATCAATCCTTTTATCTTAATGTCACATAAAGTATCATTCATTTTATCTTAATGTCACAGAAAGTATCAGTCCTTTTATCTTAATGTCACATAAAGTATCATTCATTTTATCTTAATGTCACAGAAAGTATCAATCCTTTTATCTTAATGTCACAGAAAGTATCGATCCTTTTATCTTATGTCACAGAAAGTATCGATCCTTTTATCTTAATGTCACAGAAAGAATATTTTTACCTTTGAGGTAAGTTCACTTTAACGAGCCCGAACAAACGAGTCATATTCTTCAATCAAGTCTGAAATAGATATATGTTGAAATATGATGTCCTATCGCCACTTCTAATTCTTACGGGCTAATTTTTTTCTGTCGGCAAAAACGTAGACGCTTCGGCTAGTGTTTATGACAGAGGAAATTTCCTTGTAGAGCATCTGACTAACTTGTAAACGAATATTAATGAAAATATCAAATTAAATATGACAGAAGTAATTATTTTTTCAATGTAGGAATCGAACATAGGACGTAAAGTTCTTTAGGCCAACATACTACCGCGTGAAATAAAGTGAATCCAAAAGAAAAAAATCTCTATCCTTGGAAGGCTGGTTAAAGAACATGTACATTAGACACATCATAGTAATGATGTATAGTGTCTTTAATTGGAGAAAAAAGATGCTTTATATTCACTAGATATTATTATAAATATAAACGATTTAAAAATATACTTATTAAATCTCTAGTTTGCTGTTCTGCTGGAAAATGCTGAAGCAATGGGCTGTTTTGGTATTTAAGTACATCTTGGTTACGCTTACAGTACTTCACTAGCTATTTGGAAACTGTCAAATTATTGAAACGTATTAAGACGAGCCTGCTGCGAAATCATAAAATTTAGAATCATTTTGAAAATGAATCGTTGGTAGATAAAGTCCCCAAAGTTGTGACAATGATGTTATCTAATTCTGAATCAGATAGTTACGTGGTAATACCTGTCAAACGTGTTTTGATTCCATCAGTGGGCTATACTCTTTTTACTTACTTTATGATAAGTGTAAAAAAAATCTTCTTTAAAAATTGATATTATACAGAATTATTTTTCAATTACCAAAACCTGTGTTTATTGACACTCGCCCTTGGTCTGTTGTAACGTAATATCTAACTCTTCACACGTATATGATATATGTTACATGTAAAAATAACAACTACTTAAGAAGTCAGAGAATAACTGCATCGCTCAAAAACAGTAAATGTGATTCTGTCCTTTATCCATTCTGGTCACACTTTAAATCTCTCTCATTGTTAATAGTGAAATTTGTCGCTCAAGTGTAGAACATGATTTGTGTTAAATCTTAATGTGACCGTCTGGCTTATTAGACAGTTTAATTGCGGTCACCTTAGTGTCAGAATCATGCCGTGAAACATTGGCTGGACATGATCTCCACCAGTGAGACATTAACTGGTCACGGTTTAATTGTAGATCAGTAGAAGACACTTTCCCTATCAGAATTAGATTATAATTACTTTAGGATAAACTGTAAGATCACAGCAAATAGAGTCAGTCCTGGTGTGGCCGTGGAAGGAGTAACTTGTTAAGCTCGATACTCAGGCCATACATGTTATCATTGTTGTAACTGTGTTAATACTCAACATTTGTACTTGAGAACGGTTGTTGCTGGTCTTTTGTATAACATAAGGATAGTACAACATAGTGGGGTAACACTTATCTACTGCTTCAATGTTAGAATAACGTCTTGTAATAATTAATGACCTATTTACGTATGTACGAGTAAGGTCGATATTCTTAATAGTCCACTCCGTACCCGAATATCTCGAATGCTGGAGTCTCTTACGTTGAAATTATCCAATGCGTTCTACTTTGATGTGCATTTTTCGGAGTTGAACCAATGATTTGGACATTACTAGGTAAACAAGATACAAAATAACATAAAACGTTGAACATGATGACGTAACAACAGTCATTATGATTATGTATCACGTTTCACATTAGATGTGTTCAGAATTCCCGGTCTACGGAAAAGTCGTTAACACGTTATCAGACGAGAATGGTTAGGAAAAGTGAGTTAACAAGGTTGACCAGAATATATCAGCAGCGGGACATACCGTAAAAGTATACAATTCCGTGATACGTCATTCAGTGAAGGTAATTCAATACCATGGGAAAAGTTCTTGATTGAAACTCTTCCAAAACGCCAAAAATCTAATTAGCTGTATATCTAGTCTCAAAGATAAACTTACATGTATTTACTTTAAACACGTTTGATAAACACGTCGGATATGCGTCACAGGAATCTCGCCGTGTTAAGTCTTTTTATTAGCTTTTCTCAATCCGGTCCTTCCCGTCTCTAAACGAGCTTGCCAATATGACCAACATGTCACTCTGTGAAGCTCATCACGCCATACGTTTGAAATGATTTTCGTCTCAGTTTCGACTTCTGATTGGACAAATGTCGCCCTGTACCGTGAATAGAAGACACTTCAGACAAGAGCTAACTTACATTGTACAAGCTAGCAAGACCGTTTGGCACGAACGAGGGAGCCTTCTCTATGATAGTTTACCTGTTCAACAGATTGGTTACCTGTCCAACAGATAGGCTTCCTTTCCAACAAATTTGACTACCTGTCCAACAGATCGGTTTCCTGTCCTGCAGAAGGGTTACCATTCCAACAGATAGGTTACCTTTCCAACCGATTAACTATCTGTCCAACAGGAAGGCTTCCTTTCCAACAAATTTGGCTACCTGTCTAACAGATCGGTTTCCTGTCCAGCAGAAGGGCATTGTTCTCGTTAAAAGCCGGTTGCCGGCAAAAGTCGCCGGCTATTTCCACATGCACAACCGGCTATTATTTCATGGAAATTGAGAAAAAAAACCATCAGGTACTTACTAATCTTGATTATCTACTGTTCTAATTAGGATATTTCAAACAACAAACCATCAAACAAGTTTATCAGTGAAATAGAATGTGTGGAATTTACGGAAGTTTACTCACAGATCATGTTCTACTTTCGTTCTTAGCGGTAGTGCAGAATCACTAATGCGCTTTACTTACAAGGTAAGGGTGGGACACTGACAAACGCTTCAGTGACTCAGAGTGTGAAAAACCCCAAAATGCAACCATAGAAGAAAAAGAAGAAAATATCAGATTTCTTCCTAACAAAACCTGCAGGTGAAACATGTGAAAATCTCACCGATTTTTTGGAGTTGACATAGCCTATATTCTGTTTGCATGCCACTGAATGTTTTATCATGTATCGTTTTATTAACATTTCGACAAGCCATACATCCGACTAGTACTGTTGCTGTCGCTATGCCGGGAATGTATGCAACACGATGCTCATTACTGATAAATAGGACTGTGCCACTGTGTCATCAGGGATATTTATTTTTTTTATAAATTAAGGACTGTCCATTCAAGATAATACCCAAACAGAAATACCTGATATACCTCGTTAATCTTACATTTACGGGAAGCCTGAAGATGGATTGCCGCGTGGTCTAAGCTACACAAAGGGACATAACTGATAAGGATAACGTGCTAAAATATTTTCTGAAAGCCATTTAAGTTTGATAAGACAACACATCAAAATCAACGATTCAGTAAAGAAAATAAATAAAGATGACAGGATAATTTTGACCATGTGTTAGTTTTGTTGTTTATGATGTTATTTATTTTACTTATAAATTTGCAGTTTTCTGGGCATTTTTTCATTGAAAATGATGAACACCAAACATCATTATTTTGGGTTTACATAATTTTCACACATTATCTTAAGCAGTAAACCTGCTATCAGTTTGGGTCAAATTAAATGAAGTGTTTAAGTTGCAAATAAAGTTGTAGAATCAAAATTATATACTGTTTAACATGCTTATCATTAGATTTATTAATTTGGGTATTAAGATTATCATAATGCAAAAATGCTTGTTTAGAATACTGTATTTTTGTCTTATAAAAATTTCACATGTGTTGGTTGTTTACAGTTACAGACATTTTGTTTGTCACATGTTGTGCAGGCTGGCAGGTAGTTTCCTCAACCCTGCACAAAGTCTATTCACTTAAAAACTGTGTTTACAAATACAAATATTCTTCAGAAAGCTGATATATATATTTTCAAGTAAACAGTACACATATATCTTTTTTTCCATTTTTATCATATTCAAGCAAAAAGTAACCTCTATTTCATGTAAAAATATATCAATTCCAATACTGAGATGTGCCCAAATTGCACCTAGAGCATCCTAAAAAATCAAAATTTTCCTGGGGGAGGCCCAAACCCCCCCTATGAGAACCCCCCCCCCCATACTCTCCCCCCTCTCGGCCTGTGGCCTCGTTGCGCTGGCCTACTACGGCCACCGGGAGGGGCCTACGGCCCATCAACCACCTATTCTCAATTTTCAACCACCTATTCTAAAACTTACTGAAACTGAAGGGTTACCATTCCGACAGATAGGTTACCTTTTCAACAGATCGACTAACTGCCCTATATATTGGTTCCCTGTTCAACAGATCGGTTTTCTTGTGTAACAGAATAGTTACCTGTTCAACATATTGATTCCTTGTCCAACAAATAAGCTACATTTCCAACAGATAAGCTAAACCAGGGCTTATTGGTGTTTTTTTTTTAAATGTGAATTATTCAAAGTCTTCTTTTCCCCAAATGTGTCTACTACTGGCGCGGAGACGCCGGCGAAGTTGACGAGTTAGTCGGGATGTTCAAAATGAAAAAGTTTATAGATTTTGTTTCTCAAGGATAAGATGTTGAAAGTTCGAATTTGCTTGTTGTATTTCATAACCGCTACTACCCTTTGTCATTTTGTAATTTGTCTCAACTTTGGCGATTACCACATATGGTAATAGTTTACGGTGTGAAAGGTGGTGTGGCTGCTCGCACAAACAGGAAACGCCAAGAACGATAACTCTAAACGCGACATTGTTCAGGATCATAAGGATGTTTGTTTAATAGTTAGTTACAATATTTCATTATAACAACCTTCTTTAAAAATATATTAAAGTTCACAGTTGTCAATTGATCCCAGAAACTACCCACCAGAACAAACCATTTACTCGTGAAATGTTGCCTTAATCAATGACATAATATTCAAGGGATACATTTTCATTAGCATCAATCCAATAATGAATATGATTGCTGAAATGATAAAAAAATCAACACTCCGCGTGACTTCAATGTCTATAACGATATGAGAGAAGCAAAACGATATATGAATATTAATTGCCAGGTGTTAATTCCACAAAAACTGGAATACTTTCTGAGAGTAACATATGTTTCCTAGTCGATATTACAAGATAAAATGTACACCTGTATCATCTGTAATTCAGGTATTGAATTTAATTTTAACGAAAGCGATAGCAGGCTACACGTATATGATGACACGAAGATTATAGTATTCGCTTTAATCATATTCTACATAAGAGAGAATTTAAACGCGTTTCGACATAAGACATTCTCAGCCGAGCAGGACATTTTTACACTGCCGATACGTTCATCTGACGTTTTTCACTTGATATGATTCATCAGTGGTTAGTGTTTTAAAATATGTGTTATTTTGGTGAATGTAAAGAAAGACAAATGTGGTAAAACTCTGGAATAAGCTCTGAATTGTAGCGTTATGATTATGACGTCATTGAAGTTATTACATTTCACTGAGTTATACGAAGATGGAAGGCAACCTGGAGGAGAATTCATACAGCCGCAGAAAAATGTCTAACATGCCCTAAGCAATAATCAATAGATATATTACCTTTTATATATATGTTTATTCGGTGTGTATATTTAGCTTCCATTTTTACGTGTCCTTAAAGATAATCTTTTTTCAGTTGCGAGTAATTCTCATCCTTGATAAGAATAAGATGTTGTGCAAAAGAAATCCTTTCCTTAATTAACGTTAAATAATGGCGGAAGAAATGTGCATCAAATCAAAGACTTTAAGATACAAAAAATATCTTATATTCCAGACACACAAAAGTAAAGATGATAGAGAGAAATCGGTGATTACCTGAGTGATATAGATAACAATTAAAAGAGTTTCAAGTCCAGATCCGTCAAAATGCCAGTGGTCAAAGTGAAAGATGACCACGGAAAAACCATGACCCTTCGGGAGGTAGAGGGTTGCTATTTACCGTTAATTCGAGTACCTTATGATCAGGAAGAAGAGTTCCTTGGGAGGATGGACTGGACGGCGAGGCCAGATGACATACTAATTTGTGCTTATCCAAAGTCAGGTGGGTTGATGAGAAAAAACGTGTTTTTTAAAGAAATATTAGGATAGTATACTGTTTCAAGGACTGAAAAATACTAGTTATTGTTTTCAAAGATAAAAAGTATCAAAACAATTCTCCAGGAGCAAAGATCACATTTTTTTTATTTCTCTCTGTAGTCGTTCATAGCAATTCCCTGCACCAATGACAATGACTAGGCTCTAGATATCTTAATCACTTTACATACATTATGTATAACACTATATATGACATATTGTTTTCTATTCTTAAATTTGTCGGAAATAGAACAACATGATAGATGGATGATCTCCCCTTTAAGTATTAGCAGATAGCGTTTTAATTCCGCAATACCATATTCGTGTTATCGAAAATTATTCAGCATCCAAGAACTGGATTGGTGCTCTTAGGATCTGACAATGGACGATACCTTTAGACATTTCTGATGAACGATGTATTGCGTTGATCTAAAGTATACATTAATTTGTGTCTTGTGTTGTAAACATTTTCGTCCTGTTAAGTGTTTAGCTGAAGAAAATACCTACCCAGGCGACACACCATCAATGATTGATGTAATGTAATACTGTGAGAATGTAGCTTCTTCCTAACTGTTCTCTTCCGTTAGGGACTCACTGGGTTTGGGAGATCGTGTGTATGTTATTGAATGGAAACGCCGAAAGAATCCACTTGATGAAGGAAATGGCCATGCTAGAGTGTCTGTCCCGATCAGCGCTGGACTCTATGACGTCACCAAGAGTGTTAAATACTCACCTGTACTTCGGACAGATACCAGAGGACTTTAGACAGAAGAAGTGTAAGGTGGTGTACATACTGAGAAACCCCCGGGACGTGGCAGTGTCCTTCTTTAACCATCATACACGACTGCTGGACTATGAGTATAGTGGCGATTGGCATCAGTATTTACCGAGGTTCATTGAGGGCAAGGGTATGTAAAGACCATGGTATTTTTTATGTTGACTAGAAGACTTGATTGGCAACATGCTTCAGTTTCATCTGTATGTAACATACTTTTATGTGCTGTGTTAGCTTTTTGAAGAAACTGCTAAAAGATTAACGATCTATCTGGTCCTACATTTTTGAAAAGTATTGTTGTGTGAAACATTCATCATAGAATTTAGACCTGCTTTGGACAGAGCCTAGAACAAAACTCTAGATTTCTTTAGCACGTGTTAGTACATACCTGCTGTCGTACATACTTTATGAAACTTTATCAGATTGCACTGTACTGTTTCCGTGTTTATAGTGGACTACGGATCCTGGTTTGATTATGTTATGGACTGGGAAAACGCCATGAACAGGAACCAGTTGAACCCAACACATGTGCTCACTTATGAAGACCTCCAGAAGGTATACAAATGTAACAAAGTGACAACAGAATGTCTAAAAATAAAAACGAATATGTACATCTTACTAATGATTGAAGAGCACGTGACACTTAACTCTTAACCTAATTTCTGACAAGGATAAAACTTTGTGTGTCCATATATACAGGTTAGTTATGGAGGATCTTGTTTAAATACATTATATTATTGACTAAATTACATCGTCATCAGACAAGGGTTACAATGTCTACTTTAGATCAAAGGTGTTTACTTCGGTTTACCTGTATTTACTTAGATAACAATAAATGTTCATAAGTAATTGAGGGAGTATTTTCGTTACCTTAACTTATTGTCATGTTGTTGTATAAGTCGTTTTGATTTTAGAGATATTTACCTAAACTTTCATTTCTAAACATTGATTTCCAAGCAATATCAATAATGTGTATATTTTTATACCAGATAATTGATTTCTGTTTAATGTGATTAACTTGGAAGAAATATATGTACTTTTACGTAAATCGTAAGTTTGTTCTCCAAAATATAACAAATATTTAACAAGGTGAGTGTCACAAGCTTATCGCGAGTTATCTCCCCGTACACGCGTCGGTTTTTTTTAAAATAAACTGAAATATTTGTTATTTAATACAACTCTATAAAACTGACTATCAGAAACACTTTATAGATATCCTGACAACAGAAACACACTATACTTCCTACACACTGTTAGATCCTGACATCAGAAACACACTATACTTCCTACATAATGTTAGATGTCTTAGATATCCTGAAATCAGAAACACACTATACTTCTTACACACTGTTAGATCCTGAAATCAGAAACACACTATACTTCTTACACAATGTTATATATCTTAGATATCCTGACAACAGAAACACACTGTACTTCCTACACAATGTTAGATATCTTAGATATCCTGAAATCAGAAACACACTATACTTCCTACACACTGTTAGATCCTGAAATCAGAAACACACTATACTTTTTACACAATGTTAGATCATGGAAATCAGAAACACACTATACTTCCTACACACTGTTAGATCCTGAAATCAGAAACACACTATACTTCCTACACACTGTTAGATCCTGAAATCAGAAACACACTATACTTCTTACACAATGTTAGATATCTTAGATATCCTGAAATCAGAAACACACTATACTTCCTACACACTGTTAGATCCTGAAATCAGAAACACACTGTACTTCCTACACAATGTTAGATATCTTAGATATCCTGAAATCAGAAACACACTATATTTCCTATACAATGTTAGATATCTTAGATATCCTGAAATCAGAAACACACTATACTTCCTACACACTGTTAGATCATGAAATCAGAAACACACTATACTTCCTACACACTGCCGTCCATCTTTTTTGGACAATTTTTATAAAATCTCATGTGATATGAAAACTAATTGAAGATATTTCAGTCACATATTTCAGAAAAGCTATCGATTTTCAAGATAAAATATGGAGAACAAAATGAATAGGAGACAGCTATTTTTGCACCATTTTCAGCTCATCGTTTATGATATGATTTCACAATCAATTTCTGTGTATATTACACTAGTAACATGTCCGCTAACATTTACGAGGCGAATTTACTGGATGACAAGCAGATTATGTGATAAAAATGTGAGGAAACAAAAACGCTGAACACTGAGATCAAGAGGTATCAAGATTGCTTAAATCAATTACCCGGGCCTTTTCCTAGATCACTTAGATTAAAAAAGTCCACATACACAACACGCAGTCAACCAACTTCTGGTGAAAAAAACAAAAGGGTCATTAGTTACGTTTTGGCGAGTTCCGTGCTCGGATAAAGTTATGTTTTTATAATGAAATGAACTGACAAATCATTAAGACAATACAAGTACAATAAAGTGACACAATCGGTTACAGAAATAGCAAAAACATATCCAGTATATATATGTACACTTTAGGCATGTGCAACTTGAACGGAAATGTGTTTAGTGGAACTCTGATGTCCGCGGTAGTGGTATGATTAACAGACAATAAAGACCCATTTGAACAACTTACAAACGGATCTTTCTACTGCTTCAAGTTTAGGCTGGACCATGAATTCAAATCGACAAATGATATTTGTGTTGTAGGACTGTGTGAAAGAGGTAGGTAGACTGGCGACCTTTCTAAAGGCTGAGGGCACTGCTTCATTATACCAGGATATTGTTAATCAATGCAACTTCAAAAAAATGAAAAAGGAGAAAGACCCATTAGAGGATGCAACGGAATGGAAAGATGATCAACCTGGAATGTACAGGAAAGGTAAGGAAACAACATGACAATTACCATAACATGTGTTACCATGACAATTCCCTCTTGGTGGTATGCTTGGTACCATGACAATTCACACTTGGTAATATCTTTTATTACCATGACAATTCTCACTTGGTAATATGTCTTGTTATCATGACAATTCTCATATGGTAACATGTCTTGTTACCATGACAATTCTCACATGGTAACATGTTTTGTTACCATGACAATTCTCATATGGTAACATGTCTTGGTACCATGACAATTCTCACTTGGTAATATGTCTTGTTATCATGACAATTCTCATATGGTAACATGTCTTGTTACCATGACAATTCTCACATGGTAACATGTCTTGTTACCATGACAATTCCAACGTGGTTACATGCTTTTCTTGTTGTAAAATACTTCATCGGTACATGTTTTTCTCGCTCTCTTCCATCTTTGATAAAAAAAACTTCTTTGTACATTTGTGTCCATATAATATTGATTACGTTGTTATAGTTGATTAAATTCAATATGGAATTACACCTTTGTAAGACCGTTTATGTATGTTTTAACCAGTACACTATGACTGTAGATGCCGTTTACTATATTTACGTATCTTGCGAGGAATCTTTAGAAGGGTATTCTATATAATGTGACTGATTTAATTCCAGGTATAGTGGGAGATTGGAAGAACTGGTTTACTGTTGCCCAAAGTGACATGTTTAACACCGTGTACAGAGAAAGGCTGAAAAACACCGTGCTACCAGCGCCTTATGATCAATAGATTATGTCATACAACACATTCAAAATGGCAGCGCGAAAAACTGTCTGTAATCCGTGTGCTGCTTGGACTAATCTCACATAACCCAACTACAGTATTGACTAACGTCTGTCAGAGAAAACACGTGGATACACAGGTACACATCTGTCTGATATCTACCTGTTACATAGATCGCTTTTATATCGATTCCCTCGTATTGAATAAAACATGTTTTTGTGTGAAATTGTATTTAAAAAGATAGTTTGATGCTTTTTAGATTTTATTTACATTCTTTCTGATGGTATGGTTATTGCGAAAATTTATAAATCAGTGTTTTAAACAAGAGAATGTGAATGTTTAGGACCTGTTGAAGTTTTTTTCTACGCTCAGTGGAATCCGATTTCTGAATTGGTTTAAAGGTTGTGGCTCGACTGTTTAAACTGAGGGTTCGTAAAGAAGAAAAAGAGAACAGTATACCCTTGTTTTCTATGAGAACCCTTTTTATATAGTCTTCCTTTCATCTTTCGCCCGCCTGTTTACATGTATCGAAAACAAGCTTTGTGATATTAATTAGTAACGTATTTGTGTATTTTTAATGAAAATCTATGTATATAAATAACTTTTAATGTCTATTTTCAAAATTGTGTTATGTTGTTTTCAAATGTTGCCGTTATGTATTTTCATCACCATGAAGATTAAGTTAGGTTAACATAAAACTACTGAAAAGCACTAGGTTCACTACAGGAAAATCAGCATCATCGTCGGAGAGTCAGTGTGATTCAAGGCATCACTGGTCACAGATCAACAGGTAGATAATCTCTAGATTTATTGGGATTTTAGTACTCTATGTTTCTTTATATGAATATATGCCTGTAGTAATAGTAATGTATATGTAATCAAATGTGGTGGTATCCAAGACTGTTTCAAAAATTGTTATATGAATTAATATATTTTCACAAAATTTAAGATTTGAAAATAAATTTGTAATTTTAGATATGTGTCATTTTCTTTTCTAAAAGATTGAAAAATAGGAAATTAGAATAGAAACGAACCCAGTTAGCAAGTAAGGACACCTGTTTACCCTGTAAAAACACGATTTACTGTACCGATTTTTGGTAGAAGATTACACAGTCCTAATATTGATATGGTCATAAATGAGATGGTCAGTGGTTCTAAATACATGGTCTCATAACCAATGTAAAAATTGGAAATTTACCGATGGTAAGATTTGGAATGCAGTTTTTCTTTAGCTGAATGGAGTTTAAGTTAAATGGGAGGATGTTACAGACAATCAATTAGTAGTACATTGTCTCATCATTTCGTAATAATGTTTTCTTACCAATCGGTTATCTATAGGCTAATCCATATTGCAGGTCTGACCGAAAGAGATCAGTAACAAAGGATGAAACTGGCTGAGTCTTTTTACTATATTGAATTAGAAGGGAATATACAATGCGAATCGGCTGATATTAAGTCGGTAGGAAACAATACGGGAGAACATCAAAGAAAAGCCTTGGGTAGGGGATATATATCAGGTGGGTATAAAACAAAACGATGAAAAGGCAACATATCAATTAAACAGTGAAATAAAACAGTGAGTACGAGAAATATACAGTCGGTAGGAATGTAAAATAAAACAGCGTGCACCAGAAATATACAGTCGGTAGGGTTAAATAAAACAGTGAGTACGAGAAATATACAGTCGGTAGGAATGTAAAATAGAACAGTGAGTACGAGAAATATACAGTCGGTAGGAAGTTAAAATAAAACAGTGAGTACGAGAAATATACAGTCGGTAGGAATGTAAAATAGAACAGTGAGTACGAGAAATATACAGTCGGTAGGAATGTAAAATAAAACAGTGAGTACGAGAAATATACAGTCGGTAGGGTAAAATAAAACAGTGAGTACGAGAAATATACAGTCGGTAGGAAGGTAAAATAAAACAGTGAGTACGAGAAATATACAGTCGGTAGGAAGGTAAAATAAAACAGTGAGTACGAGAAATATACAGTCGGTAGGAAGGTAAAATAAAACAGCGAGTACGAGAAATATACAGTCGGTAGGAATGTAAAATAAAACAGTGAGTACGAGAAATATACAGTCGGTAGGAATGTAAAATAAAACAGTGAGTACGAGAAATATACAGTCGGTAGGAATGTAAAATAAAACAGTGAGTACGAGAAATATACAGTCGGTAGGAAGGTAAAATAGAACAGTGAGTACGAGAAATATACAGTCGGTAGGAAGGTAAAATAAAACAGTGAGTACGAGACATATACAGTCGGTAGGAAGGTAAAATAAAACAGTGAGTACGAGAAATATACAGTCGGTAGCAAGGTAAAATAAAACAGTGAGTACGAGAAATATACAGTCGGTAGGAATGTAAAATAAAACAGTGAGTACGAGAAATATACAGTCGGTAGGAAGGTAAAATAAAACAGTGAGTACGAGAAATATACAGTCGGTAGGAAGGTAAAATAAAACAGTGAGTACGAGAAATATACAGTCGGTAGGAAGGTAAAATAAAACAGTGAAACAGTAGGAATGAAAATAAAACAGTGAGTACGAGAAATATACAGTCGGTAGGAATGTAAAATAAAACAGTGAGTACGAGAAATATACAGTCGGTAGGAATGTAAAATAAAACAGTGAGTACGAGAAATATACAGTCGGTAGGAATGTAAAATAAAACAGTGAGTACGAGAAATATACAGTCGGTAGGAATGTAAAATAAAACAGTGAGTACGAGAAATATACAGTCGGTAGGAATGTAAAATAAAACAGTGAGTACGAGAAATATACAGTCGGTAGGAATGTAAAATAAAACAGTGAGTACGAGAAATATACAGTCGGTAGGAATGTAAAATAAAACAGTGAGTACGAGAAATATACAGTCGGTAGGAATGTAAAATAAAACAGTGAGTACGAGAAATATACAGTCGGTAGGAATGTAAAATAAAACAGTGAGTACGAGAAATATACAGTCGGTAGGAAGGTAAAATAAAACAGTGAGTACGAGAAATATACAGTCGGTAGGAAGGTAAAATAAAACAGTGAGTACGAGAAATATACAGTCGGTAGGAATGTAAAATAAAACAGTGAGTACGAGAAATATACAGTCGGTAGGAAGGTAAAATAAAACAGTGAGTACGAGAAATATACAGTCGGTAGGAAGGTAAAATAAAACAGTGAGTACAAGAAATATACAGTCGGTAGGAAGGTAAAATAAAACGGCGAGTACGCGAAATATACAGTCGGTAGAAAGGTCAAATAAAACAGTGAGTACGAGAAATATACAGTCGGTAGGAAGGTAAAATAAAACAGTGAGTACGAGAAATATACAGTCGGTAGCAAGGTAAAATGAAACAGCGAGTACGAGAAATATACAGTCGGTAGGAAGGTAAAATAAAACAGTCGGTAGGAAGGTAAAATAAAACAGCGAGTACGCGAAATATACAGTCGGTAGGGTAAAATAAAACAGTGAGTACGAGAAATATACAGTCGGTAGCAAGGTAAAATAAAACAGTGAGTACGAGAAATATACAGTCGGTAGGAAGGTAAAATAAAACAGTGAGTACGAGAAATATACAGTCGGTACGTAGGTAAAATAAAACAGTGAGTACGAGAAATATACAGTCGGTAGGGTAAAATAAAACAGTGAGTACGAGAAATATACAGTCGGTAGGAAGGTAAAATAAAACAGTGAGTACGAGAAATATACAGTCGGTAGGAAGGTAAAATAAAACAGTGAGTACGAGAAATATACAGTCGGTAGCAAGGTAAAATAAAACAGGGAGTACGAGAAATATACAGTCGGTAGGAAGGTAAAATAAAACAGTGAGTACGAGAAATATACAGTCGGTAGGAAGGTAAAATAAAACAGTGAGTACGAGAAATATACAGTCGGTAGGAAGGTAAAATAAAACAGGTAGAGAAATATACAGTCGGTAGCAAGGTAAAATGAAACAGCGAGTACGAGAAATATACAGTCGGTAGGGTAAAATAAAACAGCGAGTACGAGAAATATACAGTCGGTAGGGTAAAATAAAACAGTGAGTACGAGAAATATACAGTCGGTAGCAAGGTAAAATAAAACAGTGAGTACGAGAAATATACAGTCGGTAGGAAGGTAAAATAAAACAGTGAGTACGCGAAATATACAGTCGGTAGGAAGGTAAAATAAAACAGTGAGTACGAGAAATATACAGTCGGTAGGAAGGTAAAATAAAACAGGGAGTACGAGAAATATACAGTCGGTAGGAAGGTAAAATAAAACAGTGAGTACGAGAAATATACAGTCGGTAGGAAGGTAAAATAAAACAGTGAGTACAAGAAATATACAGTCGGTAGGAAGGTAAAATAAAACAGCGAGTACGCGAAATATACAGTCGGTAGTACAGTGAGTACGAGAAATATACAGTCGGTAGGAATGTAAAATAAAACAGTGAGTACGAGAAATATACAGTCGGTAGGAAGGTAAAATAAAACAGTGAGTACGAGAAATATACAGTCGGTAGGAATGTAAAATAAAACAGCGAGTACGAGAAATATACAGTCGGTAGGAATGTAAAATAAAACAGTGAGAACGAGAAATATACAGTCGGTAGGAAGGTAAAATGAAACAGCGAGTACGAGAAATATACAGTCGGTAGGAAGGTAAAATAAAACAGTGAGTACGAGAAATATACAGTCGGTAGGAAGGTAAAATAAAACAGTGAGTACGAGAAATATACAGTCGGTAGGAAGGTAAAATAAAACAGCGAGTACGAGAAATATACAGTCGGTAGGAATGTAAAATAAAACAGTGAGAACGAGAAATATACAGTCGGTAGGAAGTTAAAATAAAACAGTGAGTACGAGAAATATACAGTCGGTAGCAAGGTAAAATGAAACAGCGAGTACGAGAAATATACAGTCGGTAGGAAGGTAAAATAAAACAGTGAGTACGAGAAATATACAGTCGGTAGGAAGGTAAAATAAAACAGTGAGTACGAGAAATATACAGTCGGTAGGAAGGTAAAATGAAACAGTGAGTACGAGAAATATACAGTCGGTAGGAAGGTAAAATAAAACAGTGAGTACGAGAAATATACAGTCGGTAGGAATGTAAAATAAAACAGTGAGTACGAGAAATATACAGTCGGTAGGAAGGTAAAATAAAACAGTGAGTACGAGAAATATACAGTCGGTAGGAATGTAAAATAAAAGAGTGAGTACGAGAAATATACAGTCGGTACGTAGGTAAAATAAAACAGTGAGTACGAGAAATATACAGTCGGTAGGGTAAAATAAAACAGTGAGTACGAGAAATATACAGTCGGTAGGAATGTAAAATAAAACAGCGAGTACGAGAAATATACAGTCGGTAGGAAGGTAAAATAAAACAGTGAGTACGAGAAATATACAGTCGGTAGCAAGGTAAAATGAAACAGCGAGTACGAGAAATATACAGTCGGTAGGGTAAAATAAAACAGTGAGTACGAGAAATATACAGTCGGTAGGAAGGTAAAATAAAACAGCGAGTACGCGAAATATACAGTCGGTAGGAAGGTAAAATAGAACAGTGAGTACGAGAAATATACAGTCGGTAGGAAGGTAAAATAGAACAGTGAGTACGAGAAATATACAGTCGGTAGCAAGGTAAAATAAAACAGTGAGTACGAGAAATATACAGTCGGTAGGAAGGTAAAATAAAACAGTGAGTACGAGAAATATACAGTCGGTAGGAAGTTAAAATAAAACAGTGAGTACGAGAAATATACAGTCGGTAGGGTAAAATAAAACAGTGAGTACGAGAAATATACAGTCGGTAGGAATGTAAAATAAAACAGTGAGTACGAGAAATATACAGTCGGTAGGAATGTAAAATAAAACAGTGAGAACGAGAAATATACAGTCGGTAGGAATGTAAAATAAAACAGTGAGTACGAGAAATATACAGTCGGTAGGAATGTAAAATAAAACAGCGAGTACGAGAAATATACAGTCG